CTGTCTGCCTGGCTGTGCTGCCCTGAAAAGTTGGTCTGGTGTGAGGCAAGCTGCCATAGGAGTGGGAAGGAGGGATTTGCTCCTGATGATAACCTCTTCTTCAGCTGCTGAGGCCCTTAATTCTCAGTGAGCTGTGGGGTTGCTCTCTGGTCCTCACTCAGGTGTCCTGCCTGGGCTCCTCAGAGGGGCTGTGGGCCTCATGCTCAAGTCTGTGTGGGGAAGGCACTGAAATACTTACTGATTGCTTTACTTGTTTAAAAAAGAGCTTTCTTAAAAAAAAAAAGCAGGCCTGACATCTAAATACCCATGTCAGTGTGCAGACTCTGCAAAGGAAGTTTGAGCTCTCTCACATTAGATTATAACATTCAAGTTACTACCAGGCAGCACAGACAGGAAACAGTGACCTAGAGGTGAGATGTTGTATATTCGATTACCGATCCACTCCATCTTCCAGCCCTTCATATTTATGGCGTTTTGGTGTATGAGAGTATGTAACAGATATCAAGAGTTTTCCGCAGACACTTCAGTACTCAACAGGCCTCTGGAAGGCCTTCCTTTATCTCCTCTCTCTGCTCCCTCTGCCCTGAAAAAAGAAGAGATGCTAGAGCTAGAAAAATTTAGTGCAGGTTGGCCTTAGTCCAGCAACTCAACAATGCCAGTTTTATTTGAATGTTTCTAATTAGTTCTGCAGACTTAATCTCTGTACTCTCTCTATAATATAAATAAATAATGATATATTGTAACTTTTCTCTAATGAAAACAAGGAGGAGGGAAAATGGAATTAAAATGGCCAGATCACCTGAATGCTGTTGTATGACATAACATGATGGTTAAGTAGGAAATGGTTATATAGTTTTCTGGATGAAGATAACCTTTTTTTTTTTTTTAATAAATAAATGTGGGATCTCACCCACGCTGGAATCCTGAGCTATTTCCAGGAGATACTTGATGTAGATTTCAGTATGCATTTTCTTACTTAGCTATGTTGTCTGTTTTAAATTGCTTTTAGTTATGTGTATTTGCTAGGTGCACAGAAACCTTTGTGCTAGACAAATGGTAGAGAAGTTATTTTTGAAATTACGAGTCTATTACAGAACTATTACAGAAAAAGTAGACAAGAGTTATCCCATCAGCTTTGGAAACCATACTGTTCAGTGTAAAGCCTGCATATGCAAATGCTCTAGCTAGTTATATTATACAGTTTTCCAACTGTGCCGTTCCTCATTTGCTTGTGATCTGCTGGATGTGAAGACCTTACAAGGGCCAAAGATTTTTGCTGGAATATTCTTGAGGCAAACCATTCATTGTGTTCTTAAAATTCCATTTGCTAGATTTCGGCTGTTGATAGCCTTGTTCTTCAAACACAGACCATGATTCATATTTACGTTATCTTCACAGGTATTTGTGAAAAATGAAATGTTCCATATAAATCCCTCATTTTCAACATTAGCTTTATACAAGCAGTTTTGTTTCAGAAAAGTATTCTAGAGAATGATTGTATGCTTTGCACAGATAGCTGTAACTGCGTATCTTATTATTTTGACTCTGTATATTATTTTGGAAAGCAGTGGCATAGTTTGGGTATAGCATCACAACTTTAATCTGTGATGCTATAGTGACCATTGAATTTTCCTAAGAATTAATTATTTATATTGTTCTTGGCTGTTTCTTTTAATTGTAGGGTTTTAGAAATTTGGTAAGGAAACACAATGTTGTCATCCAACCCTGAGTTTTAAAGGAAGATTTTACTTTGTGGAATATATTCTCTAAGCCATTTTTGCTAATAGAAAATGTGTGTGTTATTGAAAAGATGTAGCATAATATGCATTGCCTTGGAAGCTAGAGCTCCTGAATTCTAATTTTAGCCTCACTACTGTCTCTTTGGATTTTCTTAAGCAGGAATCATAGATTTAAGACATAACTGATTTTTAAAATGGCTGATAGAGCCCTGATTTTGCATTAGAGTTAGCAAAAGTGTTGCCATGAATAGAAGACTGCAGAAGACTAAGCCATAGTTTCCATATATTCAGATCCACTTACATTATTTAAAATTGTGAGTATACAGCCCTGTAAAAATCAAGGACACCCAGTAACTGGGAACTGAACACCAGTTGTCTTTTTTTTCATGAACCCAGGCTTTAGCCATACTGTTTCTTGTCTCAGTCTATAAAAAACAGGCAATATTATATATGTACCTTACACCAAACATACACCATGTTAACTAATTATGTTTTGTTAAAAATAATAAACAGTTGACCTTTCAGGACGTGCTGGCTTCCTCATGGCAAACATAACTAACTGTTCATGTCACAGAAGCAAAGGTCTAAGAAGATGCTTAATTCTGAGAAAGTGTTACTATCCATACGTTATTGCAAACAGTATCAGTGAGATGCTATATACCTTCAAGTAGATAGGATACTGTAGCTGCTAGAGGTGGATTCTCATCTTGAAGCTATTGACAAATTTGGGCTGTTAGTTTTGCACTTCTCTGCCCGTTTCCCTTGTCTGTTTTCAGAGCAGATCTGACTCATGGCGTATTGTTACAGTGTCTGCTACCAGTTGGGTCACCTGCAATACTCCAGCCAGGGCGTTTCAGTAACGTGTAGTGCCTCTTTAGGAAGGGAAACATTTTTGCCCTTGTTTGAAATTACTTAAAAATAGGGCCCAACATGGGGGTTGCTCTCCTTTCCCTTCCTTCTCTCACCTGTGCTCTGAATAAATGCCCCAGGTTCCTATCTTATCTCTGCCCTACCAAAGCATTAATAGCCCTGTTCCTTGTGTCACTACATAGATGTTGATATACTTGCAACAAATACAGATAATAGCACATCAGATATTTTATTCTAAAACACTGATAATTCTTGAGAGTAAAATACAGTCGTGACTGGAGCTTTGTTGGTTGGGACTTTCAGAATTAAATTGAACAAAGATTGTGGAGAACAATCCTTCATCAGCCAGGAGGTGGACTGAATGATCTTTAAAAGGTTTTTTTCATCTCTTCTTCCTATTATTCACTCCCAAGAAAAACAACTTCTTTCAAAACCCATTGATCTGTCAAGCAATTCAGGCAACACTCTACTAGTAACGCTCCCTGAAGAAAAAAGGTAACATTGTAGTTCTGGAACTGATGGAATTAACATGATGTAAATTCAATTTCACAAATCCTCCTTAATATGATGCAGATCCTGAGCAATTCACAGTGGTTCTAATGCTATTTCTTCCACTTTGGGTTTCTGATCACTCTTGATTTCTGATGCTGTGCAATGTTGCAACATAAAAAGAGAGAATAATCTATTATTGCTAGTACCTGACTCAGAAGAAGAGTACCAGAGTGTTTCAAAGTGTTACAACAAAGGAATATTGCTAGTTAAGCCAAATAAAAGCTAATGGAATAGCCAAAGCAAAATGCTCTCGCTTGTGTCTCATGAGGATATCAGACAGCATACTTAAAACTAACATATCATCTGTGCTATAGCAAATTCTTTCTTCATTTGCTGTACTAATATGCTCATAGGAGCAAATGTACCGTATTTACAATTTAGGAGGGATTACATATACGGGCAACGTCTGCAACAATGAAATGCTGGACTTCATTCTAGTTGAAATTGGTATTAGCAAACACCCATCATGGCTGATTGTTTAATTTAAATCTCTTCATTGATTGTCATTAAATTAATAGAGCTCGCAGAGATTTTGCACCAATGATACATAACAAGAATTAAAAATAGTATATTCTACATTCTTCTGCTTAGTTTGCTTAGCAGACTTCATAGCTGAAATTCTCTCTGACAGAGCTTGGTAGGTAGAGAGTTACTGTTTCAAAATTGTTAATGGAGGCGCAAACCTTATTTTCCAATAATAACTAATAGTCATTCTTACAGTGCTCTTATGAAGTAGGCCTGCAGTGTTATTTTCCTTCTGCTGGTAGAAAAAGAGGAATTAAGTAACTTGTTGAAGGCTATGGTGACTCAGCGTTAGGATGGTGAATGGAATTAAATTTTCTAGATCCATGGTCTCTTCCTCCGATGTACTTGCTTTCAGGTACTGTGATTGTTCTGAAAGAAAATTCAAAAGGAAACAAACTGAGAGGCATATAAGCAGCATACATTTTTCATGGGTATTTTTATTCCACTCCAGCAGCTACCAACCAGCACTGAAGAAAGTACTAGTATAATGCAGCAGTTCTTGCATTCTTCTGTTTTGGGCAATTTTTCTACTTTTATTTTCCTCTAAAATTTTAATAATTT